TGCACTTTGAATCCACCAGCTGCTCCATGGGAGAAAGATAGGCAGTTTCCTCCTGTGTGTTTTACTGCCTCTGGAAACCCTCCAGAAGGTCAGCTATGGGTAGGTTCTGGTACACAACAACCTCCTCCAATAGAACGAATGAAATGAAAAATACTATTAAAAAAATTTGGGGGAGAACTTCTTTATCCATACCTGCTGGGGGACTATTTACATTTACACTAACCAGTGAAAAAGAGGGAGTACGAGCAGCATGGGGTACAGTAGACAGGGAAGGAGTCGTGATAAAGACGATCTTGGATTCCTAAACGTGTAAATGCACCTGAATGGGAGAAGTGTGCTCTGGGATCTCTAATATTTTAAATCAAGCTCTTCTCATGTGGGACATTGACAATGTAATAAAACCCCCAGACCACTAGGAAGCAGCAAGAATAAGAGTTGTTCATCTTTTGGTTATCGGAACCATAGTAATTGCCATTTGAGGCAATCTCTAATAAAGTTATCTTTACCGTCACATCCTTCAATTTCAGATTTTTTTTTTATCCTCTTACATCCAAAATGGCTAGATTCTAGGTTGAGCATTACCTAGAATTCTTTCATGTTGAAGCAAGGACAATATACCTATATTTGTGGTTGTTTTTGTTGTGTACTATAGAGTCGTATGGACCCACAGCTGATCCTCCAGCGGGTTTTCAGGGGTGGTTAATCACATGAGAGGAGATTGCCCGTCCTTCCACGGAGCAGCTGGTGGCCTCCAACTGGGTGCCTTCAGGATTGCAGCGCAGGTTCTAGCCACCAGAGCTCCCTATACCTCTATTTAAACACACATTTCATTGGCTTAGTGGTAAGAAGTTGAGCCACCAAACCCAAGGCACGTGATTAGAATCCACTGGCTACTTCTCTTATGTGATTTATTGTTTCTGGAACACCCTAAGAAGGTAAGCAATGGGTCCATTCCCATTTTATGATACATAAGAAAAACAGCACTAAGAGTGAGGCCTAATGATTTCAATCCACAAGCGGCTCTGCAAGAGAAAGATGGGCCAGCTTCTCCTGTGTTATTTACAGCCTCTGAAAACCCGCTGGAGTGGTACAGGTTCGTGGCAATGAGCTTGAGTGTTCTCTTACTAAGTTTGTCCCATTTTTTCATCCTTATATTCAATTTCCTTGTGCTTTGGCTTCTCTACACTCCAATGCAATCTTCAGAGTTTCCTCTGACATCCATTTTGGTCTTTGTTTCCTCTTCTGTCTTTGTGATGATCATTTGCACTCTTCCTGGATGATACATTTGACATCCTCCAACAACTCCTCTGGTCTTCGCTCATTAGTGTTCAAGGCCTCAAACCTGTTCCTGAGATGATTCTGAAATTCAGGTGGGATGAAATCAAAGTCATATTTTGGCTCCTGTGGATT